TCATTCCCCAGAGGAACATTTTATCTCCATACCAGCTAGTTCTCAGTCCAGGAGCAAGAGGCTGATCCTATTTCCATGACTTCTTTGCTTTTGAGGAACTGTGTGGCGTTTTGATGCTTTCAGATGAATTTAGCAGGTTTCTTCCTTGCGCTGCGTTGACACCCCAGAAAAGAAAAGCTCATGTGTCAGAACAGCTAGGCTGGTATGGGCTGCCCATGGGTTTTCCAATGGTGTCTTTTGACCACGGTGATCTTGGACCAGGATTCTTGGTGCATTTCGATGCCAAGTGCTAGGACAAATTCCATGCAGCTCTGTTAGATGAAGAGCTTTGCTATAATCTGAAACAAACCAAATCCAAACCACTGCCACGACTAAAGACATATTGAGGGGAAAAGAAAGAGCCTAAGTATTATATTTACATCTGCTTTTGAATGCCCCTGTGGTATAAAGTGACTCTAGATTAAGGAAAAGTCGTTAAGACTTAGCTTAGCTACAGAGACTGTAGCAGGTTCCCCTGAGAGCATGGAATGGCAGAGACCTTGGAAGAGCACGAACAACCTGGTACCTGGAGGCTCCAGAAAAGTGATTCACCAATGGCCAACTATTGCTACAGGCCTATGTAAGATCCTAGCCATAAATTAGTTGTATTTGCTTAGGTTGTTCTTGCTGCAGCCACACAAGCACTTGTGCTAGAAGAAGAAAGCAGAAGGGAGAGGGTGACTGCAGCTCTCAGATGCACAGCAGCTTCCGCTCACCTAGACTTTGCATGAAGTTATTTAATTTGGGAAAGTGAGACCGTCCAGTGTATTTAGGTGGAATATGCACTCCAAGAGAGTAGCTCTTCCCATTTAGTGCACGTACCCTGTTACCTCTGCCTGGTTTTCATTACCACTAGTTCAGGCAACACCCCTCTGATTTACTCTTGCTGCCAGCTGGAGGAAGGGAACACGACTGATCTTCCCCTTGCCTGTGTGTGCTGGGACTGCTGTGACATCCTTCTGGCCTGCCCACTGCTGCAGCAGGCGCCTTTTCTGCTTTTTAGTGAAATCCCAACGTGCCTGAGATGGTGGAAAGCACTGTGTGAGGTTACTGTATTGCTCTGTGTGCCTTGTGTGAAGGGTTTGAAGTTCTTGGGCTATGAGCAGTCCATGTTTTGGACCTCTTTCTGGGGAATAGTTTGTGGCAGAGAGGAAATCCCTGACTTTTGCACCGCTGGGTCACACCTGCTGATGGACCTGTCTTTTTGCTGGGTGGTTGTGCATGAAAACTCCTTCCTTTAGCTGCAATGCCGAGCAGCGAGGTGAAAAATCCAAGAGGAGAAAAATGCATTTTTCTCACCAGGTTTTTGCTGGCTGAACCCCACTTTATCTTGGCTGGGGTGTAGACACAGGCACTTGGACATGGTCTGAGGTGCCATGTGAAGAAAGGACGTCGCGTTTGGCCTAAATGAGACTGCTGACCGTTGATTCCTTTTCATTTTCCACCTGGAAACCTAGTGGTTTCACCAGTCTTGGGCAGGAGTTTCTGGCTGTGGAGCTGGGGGAGAGAGAAGCAGCTCTTACTGCATCTCCAGCATCAGACCTCGTCAGCCTTTAAGGCTGCCTGTTCTGGGGGCGACGGCTCGTCCGTGCTCACGCTGACGCGCTCTCGTTGAGCTGATCGGCCTCCCGGCAGCAGGAACAGCTCCCGGCGCGACGGATCGCCATGCAGCGGAGAAAGACCTCGGATGATCTGCACAGCAGCCTGGTAGAGCAGGAGCAGAGCAGCAGAGGGGTCTACTACGGCAGCATGAACAAGGAGTCCAGCGAAATCACCAAGGTAGGTGGCTGTGTCCCTCGTGGCAGACCAGCCAGAGCCCCTGTTTTTGTCCTGTACCTCAGGGCTGGCTCCTGTTGGGCCTGGAGAGACTCCAGCAGAGCACCTGGGCCCAAGTAATGCACAAAACTCAGCATCTGCCCCCAAAGTGACCATAAGAACCCACGTGATGTTCTGTGTGGCCCGAGAGCCAGAGGCACCCAAGGATCCCAGGTCCTAAGGAATCGCAGTTCCTGAGGAATTTCTGGCTTGAAAGTCAGGCCTTGTGTTTATGAAACTCTTGTTGACCCCAAGTTACTCTCCCACCTACCTGCCTCAAATTAAATGATGCCCTTTACTGAGGGCAATTTGCAACATTAAAAGTATTTTTCACGTGGGAGCTCACCTCTCATCCTCTTCCTAATCCCAAATCCAGCATAGCTGAAAGCTTTTGCTCTCCAGGAACCTTCTGCATCCATGGGGTTGTAGGAGGGGGTCCCCGGCCTTGCCAGCACCTGGCACTTCTGCAGGGAGAACCGAGGGCTGCTCGAGCTGTGTCCTGTAGTAAGGGGGCTTGAAGGAAAGGCCAGGAGCAGGGGAGGAGAAGCCCTCCAGCCAGACTAGCTCTCTGAGGAGATCTGGGCTCTTATTGCTGTGTATTTTATGGGCAGACTCAATGATCTTGAAGGTCTTTGAAGGTTTTTGCCAACCATCATGGTTCTCTGTGTTTCCTTTTTCTTAGCTCAACAACTCATCCCTGGACAAGCAGAGCACTGACAACGTCTTCAGTGATGGTCACACCAGGATAGGTGAGGGGGATCTTTGAGGGCTTTCACCCTAAATGGGGAGGATGTGGCTGCATGGGGCCTGCTGGGTTGGTAAGGAACAGAAGAGGCTTCCAATCTCCATGGCTGACGCTGTCCTTAACAAGTGCAGTTGGCTACAGTTGGTCCATAAGACCTCCTGCAAGCCCCCAGTGAGCGTTGTCCTTCTGAGGAGCTCAAGCCTTTGAAAGACGTTTGCAGCCAAGCACTTTTACCTCTGTTCCTTGTTTTACCCACAAAACAAATGCCTGGCCCTGTGGTTGCACTGAGTCCTGTGCTGGTGGCGCAGGAGCCACGGTGTGGGCACGAGCTTCCTCTTCTGCTTCAGACTTTGTCCTTGTGTGGGAAACGGTTCCCCGGGAACTCACGAAGCTGAAGGAGAGCAGTGACAACAAGGGTGTCCGGGAGAGATCGGCCCTTATCCACAGGACCTGGCGCAAGAGGTTCCTGGACAAGCTTCTTGATACTGGCATCCACATGGAAAAGGTACCTGGAGGTTTGACAGCAGTTTTTCCACTGTGTGTTAATCTCTGGAAGTCGGGAGAAGGGATGGCAGCTGTGTCCATGATCCCAAAAGGACCCCGCTGGGAGTGGAGCAGGACAGCAAGGATGACGAAGGCTGTGTGGGATGTGGAACCGGCTCATCCCTTCTCCATGGGGCTGGGAGGGTCGGTCCTGCCAGGATGGACATGGGCCCACTGGGCTAATCCAGACTGGCCGAGCGAGTCCCGCGACATGTGTGCCAGTGTCCCCACAGCCCCCTCTCTGCCCTGGTTGCCCCTCGCAGCACGTGAGCCGCATGGAGAAGAAGGTGGTGCATTACCTGCTGCTGAGCGCTCCCTGGAGCGTGCTCTGCTACTACGCCGAGGAGCTGCAGCTCCGCCTGCCGCTGCAGGTGAGCTGCTAGACGGTGCTCTTTGGAGGTGCACGGTGCCTCCAGCCCTGGCTCTCCCCAGGAGCAGCGCCTTGCCAGGAGCCTCTGTGAGGAGGTTGCCTCCTCCTCCTCCTTCTGCCCCTCCTCCTTCTCACTTTCTTGTGGGCTCAGTGCTCCCCAGTTCCTTCCCCAAGTCTGTTGGGTCCCACCTCAAATCCCTTCTGAGCTTCTTGTCCTTATCACCTCTCTTGTCCCCCGTCCCCTAGTACAGGCTTCCTCCTCCATCGCGGCCTCCCAGTGTGGGGTTATCCCTTCTGTCTCCCACCTGCAGTCGGGTTCGCTGCTCTCTTGTTACTGCTCCCTCCTGCTGACCTTTCTGTCCCCTGTGTGCAGGCCCTGCCCAACCAGGCCTCCAACTGGTCAGCCAGAGTGCTGGGCAAGCTGGGGATCCGCAACGTGATGGCCGAGGAGGTTCCCAACTTGCCCCTCGACCACTACACCTGCCAGTTCAAGGTGAACAAGCTGCAATGGTAAGAGCCCCCGGGGAGCAGCTCTTGGCAGCTTCGGCCACTGCTCGCTCCTCCTCGGCTTGGACTTGGATTCCTTCCTCCCGTGCCTGCGCAACGAGGCCTACAGCAATAGCTCCTCGTCCCCACCCACCCCTTCCTGGGGTCTTGCTCATCCTTCGACAGGTTTATAGCCCCCAGGCTGATTTGGCAGCCTTTGCTGCGGGCCTGGCCACCGCAGCGGGTGGCTGCAGCTGCGATACGGCCGTGCCAAGGAGAGCAGCGCTGCTCAGAGGGCAGCGCGCAGCTGCTGACGGGGCAAGAGCTGTCCCCGCGGTGCTGCCAAGGGGTGGCACAAGCAGAGGCAGAAGTCCTGCCTGCCGGGCCCGTACGGAGCCTCCAGCATGGTGCTGTGGCCATGGGAGCTGAAGGGCTGGGGTAACAGAGCAGCTTGTCCCACGGGCCTTGTGCCCACGGGCTCTTGCTCTCTGTGCTGCCAGGTTCCTAGGGAGTGACAAACAGGACACCTTCTTCTCCACCACCCAGCGGCATCAAATCGTGAGTACCTTGCGTAGCGAAGCTGCAACGGCCTCTCTTCCCTGGCCTCCGATGGTGTGCAGGGTCTGAGGGAGAACTGCTGCGAGCCGTAGACATTGTCCCCGGAGAGGGTTCGTGTCACAGGCAAGAGCCTGTTGTCAGAACACGTGTTGCTACGTGCAAAGAACTGCAGAGGGGAGCAGAGAGGAGAAGCCTTCTCTGCTGCTCAGGGTCACGGGGAAGAACGTGGCAGTGTTTCTGAGAGCCAGGCTTGGAGGTAGTAGCCCAAAAGCAGCTCTCCCGCAGGGGGTGGTGTGGAGCCCTCTCCCCATGAACAAGCCCTGCTCATCTTCTCCCGCTTTGCCCCCACCAGCTCTACGAGATTCTGGCGACGACGCAGTACGGCCGCTCCAAGGAGAGGGAGGTCGGCGTGGACTGGCTGCTGAGCGAGAACGTCTTCAGTGCCGCCTTCCCGCTGCACGACGTACGTAGCCAGCTGCCCGCTGCCACCCCGGAGACACCAGCCCAGGGGCACCCTCAGCCTTGTTCAGGGCCCTTAAAGAAAGCGGGGAAGTGGAGGCCTCTTCGGAGCCACCCTCTGGGATGGGATGCAGCATCCTGGCGCAGCCCTCTGCTTCATCTTGCTCATGCCATGAGTGTCCCCGCAGGGTCCTTTCAAGCTCCCATTGGAGGAATCAGCTCCCAACAGCCTCAACCAGCGCCAAATCCTCTTCCAGTACTGGGCCAACTGGAGGAAGTGGTACAAGTACCAGCCCCTGGATCACATCCGCAAGTACTTTGGAGAGAAGGTGGCTTTCTACTTCGCTTGGCTGGGTGAGTCCTGCAGGCTCCAGAGCAGCCCAGGTGCCTCAGTGCATCCGGACATGACTTCTCCTTGGGCCACGGAGAGGGCTGGGAGCGTGAGGGGCTGTCGGAGCTGCTCCTCTGGACCCGTTCCGGGCCACAGTGTCCTGAGACACTTTTCAGGTGGCTTCCTCCCCCTGCGGCAGAAGCTTGGCAAGGAGAAATGCTCCATCTGTAGCTGTAGCTGCTCTCAGCAGAGCCGCAGGGCGCTGGTCTCGACCGAGGCCCACGGGACTCGCACTCCCTGCCCTCCTCTTCTTCCTCCAGGTTTCTACACGGGGTGGCTCCTGCCTGCAGCAGTTGTGGGGACCTTGGTGTTCGTAGCGGGCATCTTCCTCATGTTTAATGACGTGCCTGCGTAAGTGCCCCCTGATCTCCCCGCTCATCCCTTTCCCTGGCCACAGGAGGGGCAGTTTGGGTAGGTTTCAGCAGCCCAGTGGGCCCCGTTGGGGCTGAGTCGCCTGTTGAGTGCAGGCTAACCCTTGACACCCCAAGTTCTGACCCATTAGGGCCAAATTTTAGCAAAAGAGAGGAAACTTCTCATTCTGGGGAGCCTGGGCGCCTGGGCTGCAGCCTGCCTGGACGCTGTGGGAGAGGGCAAGCTATGGCAGACTCCTTGCTGCTCTTTCCTTTGCTCGTAGGCAGGAGGTCTGTGAAAGCAAAGAGCAGTACAGGATGTGTCCCCTCTGCAAGTCCTGTCCCTACTGGCAGCTCTCCAGCATCTGCACAACGTTTATGGTGAGATCCCGCTTCCTTGGAGGCAGGTGGAGCAGACGTGGGTTCCTCCCTGCCCTGTCAGCCCATGCCTGGCTGCAAGGGGTGCTGTGTCCTGCAGGGCCCTGGCGGGAAGGGTGCTGGGGGCCTGCAAGTGCTCTTGGAAGCACCGGGATTTGCCCTCGCTCTATCTGGCGTTGAGAAGGAGCAGGGACAAGGTGCTGTTCTACATGAGTCTCGTGGGCAGGACAGGTTGGGAGCGTTTGCCAACCTCCCTCGTGCTCAGGGTCCCTCAGAGCCACCTGCGTCCCGGGGATCCCAGGTCCTCCTGTGGGTCCGCTGGCCCACAAAGCAACACCATGAAGCTGCTGTGGGACGTTGCGTGTGGCGGCGGCAGCCCTTGACCTCCCTCACGGCCCTGCTCTGCTGCCCCGCAGGCAGGGCGCCTCTTTGACCATGGCGGGACCATCTTCTTCAGCATGTTCATGTCGCTGTGGGCGGTGATGTTCCTGGAGCACTGGAAGCGGATGAACGCTTCCCTGGCGCACCGCTGGGACTGCTCTGACTTCGAGGACATCGAGGTGGGGGTCCCGGCCCTCTGCAACGCCCCCCCGTGCAGCGCCTGTGAGCCGTTGCTGCTGGCGGTGGCAGCCCTTGACCTCCCTCACGGCCCTGCTCTGCTGCCCCGCAGGCAGGGCGCCTCTTTGACCATGGCGGGACCATCTTCTTCAGCATGTTCATGTCGCTGTGGGCGGTGATGTTCCTGGAGCACTGGAAGCGGATGAACGCTTCCCTGGCACACCGCTGGGACTGCTCCGACTTCGAGGACATCGAGGTGGGGGTCCCGGCCCTCTGCAACGCCCCCCAAAACTGTGCTGAGCCAAACCACTGGGTGCCTGTAACACCTTCCTCCTCCTCCCTAGGAGCGGCCACGACCCCAGTTCACTGCCACGGCCCCCATGACGATAATAAACCCCATTACCGGCACAGAGGAGCCCTATTTCCCCAAGCGCAACCGCCACCAACGGATTTTGGCTGGGTCCATGGTTGTTATAATGATGGTGAGATCTCGGGAGGGATGGGAGAGCAGCTCCATCGGCTGCCAAGGCTGGCCTGTTCTAGGCAGACATGATAGAGGGGGTTGATATGGGAAAAAAAGGGGTGGGTTACAAGGGACCTCCCTTGTAGCTGTTAATGCCTTAGGGTAAGTGAGGTTTTCGCTCACCTGTCGTGTGCTGTCTGCAGATTGCCATCGTGGTGATGTTTGTGGTCTCTGTTATCCTGTACCGGGTGGTAGTTGCCATCCTGCTCGCCAGCTCCGGGTACTTCCGCTTCGTGGCCTCGGTAAGACGTGGCCGGAGCCGCTCCCGCGCTGAGCAGATCTGCTTTTCTTGCTGTGTTTTATCGACCTCGCCTGTCGTGCTCTCCGTGTTGCTTTTCCTGTAGGCATCTCGTATTGCCAGTGTCACGGGCTCAGTGGTGAATCTGTTCTTCATCCTCATCCTTTCCAAGATCTACATTTCCCTGGCTCATTTCCTCACCAAGTGGGGTAAGCTGGCACGGTGGGGAAGGCACAAAGTGACATGAATCCTTAAAACCTGGTTCCCTTTGGCCCTCCCCATGACAGCGAGACTCTGGAGAGCGTGAGCTGCTCGCTGCTGCTCCCATGAGGAGACACCAGCACAATTAGGCAAGAGGTGCCAGAACGGGTGGCCTGGGCTCCTGGTATGGCAGGTGCTTGGGGGGCGCTCTTCATAAGGGG